AGGAAATATGAACACACAAATAAATAATCAACGCAATATTCCATGAGTCTCTGAACTAAAAGAGGTTTAAGCAGTGCTCATGGCTAGTCAGCGTGGTTTCTGATGGGCACAAATGTTTGCATACCAATTATATAGTTAAATTATCCTTCTGGGACCCAGCTCTGTGAAGGGTAATAGGATTTCCAAATTCTGTCTAAACTCTAAGTGTAAAGATACATTCTAGGCTTTACAGAGACATCACATATTTAGGAGTTATTATCAGTTATATTATCAATTATATATTTTCAATCATTTTCAAACAGTTTCTTGTAAATAAACATGGGATTTCTATGAAACATGCACAGTTTCACAGAATTACAATTTGCCTCAAAAACACACATTGACAAATTAGACCGGTCAGGAACATCTATTTTTGTCCATATTTATACAAATTATTTCTGGTGTAATAAAGCCAGAAAGTAAACATTACATAAATACATCTGTAACATCTTTTAACATATTAGAGAACTTCAGTAGATAGTTCATCCAAAAAGGCAAATAATGTCAATGTCATAATTTCCTCACCCTCATGTCGTTCCAAACCTACATTACTACTGTTTTAGTATTATTTATACACTATTAATAAACACTATTATTTATTGATATTTTGAATTTTGTTTTGCTTTATAATTTTATGTACCTGTCATTTTATTATTTTTATTATTTCTATTTATTTTCTATTTAAAGTTTATTTTTACTTACATTTTAGCTTAATTTTACTTACATTTTACAGAAACTTATTTTATTTGTATGGTGCCCAGCACATGACATGCATGAAAAAAAAAAGCTAATCATGTCCACGACATAATTCACGACATAATACCTCATACCTCATGTGTGCACAATTTACAAAATTGTTCCCTCGTTTTAATTAAATCGCGCACAATATAATTTGTTCCCTCAATTTGATTCAACTAAAACATGGCCACAATTTAGTAAAACGAGGGAACTACTTATGTCATGTGCACAATTTTACTTTTTTCCCCCCTGCATGTCACATGTGGGGCTCCGTATATTTCAGTTAGTTGCCAATGCATTTTTAACATTTTTTAACATGCAACATTTTTTTCTAGTTTATTTTAGCTTTCTTTAGATTTAGTTAAAAATAATACTGACTGTATAATTTACTTTCTTTAGTTCTTTCAGTAAAAGAGATATTTTAAAAATCACTAAAAAAAAACAAGACAAAAAAATTACATACAGACATTTTTCTACATATTTTCTTTTGTGTTCCACAGAAGAAAGTAAGTCGCAGAATGAAATGTAAATGATGACAGAATTTTCATTTTTGTGTGAACTATCCATTTAACTAGTTTGGATCATGTATATTAAGTCGAAGTTGAGATCCACTAATTTACATGAAATGCCTATTAACTGCATTTTCAGACTGTGTAAAGGTATATTTTTAAAGACATGACACAAACATTATTTCATAATTACATTTACATTTAAATCATTACATTCATTTAAAACACTAAAACATTCTCTATTTTTCTGTTTGTAATTTTTTTTTTTTTTTTTTGCTGGGTCCCAGGAGGTTATACATAAATGCAAAATCCTGTTATATTTCAGCATTATAACTAGCAGGACAATGCAGTAAGCTGTCCAACATCACAGACTATTCATCAGACTGTCAGCTATGCATGGATAGTTCTCCACGCACACCTAAGCTGAAGTCAGAGAACCAGATGACTGAACCTCTATTGATCTCACTCATTTTAATGCGTTGTGAGAAGCATATCAGTAATAGCATTTCTATATGCCATACTGTCCTCTTTTCAACTCTTACTCCATGCATGCGGATGCCAACACAGGCCTGGTCTGTGGGGGCAAGCGGTGCCGGCTCCACGTTCTTGGTGTGGCTTAGATTCTGGAGAAAAGCTCAGAGGCGGCGCATGAGCTCAGAGTTCACTCAGGGTTTACGTCAGTTTCAGCAGTGCTCTAATGGAAACCACAGAGACCCCGACCTGATCCAACAGAACGCTGCTCTATATTACAGTCATAGATCCAGATCTGCGTTCCTGTTCTGATGGTTAAACGCTACGCTGAACACACGCTGACATCAACAGCCATCACAAACCTGGCTGTTGCACGGTTTCAATAGCAGAGATTACACTTCAAACTACTGCTAGGCTCGGCACACCATGACCGTACTGTCAGGACTCAAATAATCAAATGTATAAATAAATACAATATTACTAAAAAGCTAATGGCCTCTAAAAAGAAACATTACAGCTACATTACTGTTTTAGTTGACAAATTACAGATTTACTTGATAAAGATGGTTGTTAAGAAGCACTTCAGTACACTGAGAGCACACTTTTAACAAAAATGATGTGCTGTGTTAAAGGGACTCTTTAGTATACAGACTATGACTACAATTATAGTTACACACTACTAGTCAAAAGTTTGTGGTCAGTAAGATTTTTTTTGAAAAACATCTCTTATGCTAAACAAGGCTGCATTTATTTGATCAAAAATACTGTACAAAATATTCTGAAATATTATAACTTAAAATAACCCTTTTCTATTTTTATACATTTTAAAATGTAATTTATTTATGTGATATTACTCCTGCCTTCATATGACTCTTCAGAAATCATTATGCTGATTTGCTGCTCAAGAAACATTTCTTATTATCAATGTTGAAAACGGTTGCATTGCTTCATATTTTTGTGGAAACTGTAACACTTTTTTTCAAGATCAAGATTTATTTGAAATTTGTAGAAATGTTTTGTAACAATATATATTAAAAGTTGTTACTGTCACTTACAGATATCAATTTATTGCATCCTTTCTGAATAAAAATATTTATTTCTTATTTCTTAAAAATTCTTACCGGCCCAAAACTTTTGAATTGTATGGTATATATATGGTATATATTGTCCATCACAAACCACACTGATTATAAACATAACAGTTCCATTAATAATAATTCTCTAATTGTTTTAAAAAAAAAAAAAAAGTAATTTCATCTAGTCTTTACACACTTACAGACTTCACTAAATTTCTTGGTTCATTTTGAATCAGACAAAGAAAAATTACTGATATCTGACGATATCGCACCTCAAGTTTTGCACATTAGACTTTAAATTATTATATTTTTATTGTCATATTTACTGTCATAGCCACAATCTGGAACCCTGTTAGCAAGGTAACAAAGGGATGAAAGTGACTGCATATTCAACATTCATATATATATATATATATATATATATAAATAGGAGTTAAGAAAGACAGAATCTGGTTTTATTGCTGCACTGTTGTTCCTACGAATATGATGAGAATACTGTTAGACTGCATTTAAAATTATCCATAATTCTGTTTTAAAGTCAAGCTAATCTCTACACCGAACATTATTACAATCAGAGTTTACATATCATTTATGCAGCCTCCAACGTTTATTCATAAACACCTACTCATGGATTTTTAAAAATGGCTCTTGGACATTTGTGAGTTTATGCAGAATTACACTCAAAACGTACGTATTTTGCACCAGCCTGAGCTTGTCGGAAATGTGCTGACAGTAGAAATAAATATCCCGACACATTTATTTCAAGGTGTCGTGATGTGTCCGTTCATGAGCACACAGTCCCATGTATATTTAAACAATAAGGCGAAGCCTGTTGCCTGTCTTTCTGCTCGGCCAGAGAGCTGGAGCCTACTGTAATTGCAACCAGATGCAAGCATAGCCAGAGAGAAAGAAAGTGAGAGAAAGAGAGAGGCTCAGCTCTTTTGACAAGGCCTTCTCTCAACACCAGACTGCCAATCCAAACGTGGGGCTGAGGCCAAACATAACATTTCATCAATCTTGTTTCACTGACAGCGAAATGGCATCAAACAAAGGGGCTCTTAATGGCTTTCTCCCGGCTTAGTGTTTGCCCTCAAATTCAGATGATGAAAGCCGGACGTGACCGTGGGCCTGTTTCACGCTGCGAAATGGGTTGGAAAAGAGAGCACGAGAGAGATAGAGGGGGCTCTGGAACGTAAACGTGAGAGTTCGGGAGAATCGCTGTGCTGATGACAGGGCCGTGTTTGAGCCAGAAACAAGTGGGGGGGTTTCAAAATATCCACATTCACATTCAGGGGTCATCTTTGAAAAGGAAAATAAAAAACGGGACATAGTAAAAGTACCAAGCGGGGCAAAAAAGCAAGCCAATTGCAATGGAGCAGCTCCAGTGCGAGAGCTGAGGTATCCAGGCATTCAGGGTGTGTGCTGACTGAAGATCAGGGCCAGAGTCATGTCACACAGAGATGAGGTGAAGGGCCAGCAGTGACACACAGCCAGAGAGGCTTTTCTCACTGCAGCATGCAAACTAAAAAGCCAACATACGTCCATTCACAGAGAGCATGTGAGAGATGGGTCAAGCATGATGAGCAGAACTCAGAGAACAAAAAACTGAAACAAACAAGACAATGATGACACTAAGTGAACAGCGTTTTTTTTTTTTTTTAATCCGAGTATAAACTAGTGAGTGATCTTCTATCATTCACTGTGCTCTTTTCATTTCAAATGCAAAACAAACACTGATTCTACAGTAGCACATAACGGATGGAAAAGCAACAGTCACTGTAATGAAATTAAAATGCAGCAGATGCGTTAGGGAAAAGAAGCCACAGACACAGAGCAAAGGGCATGGACATGTGGCTTCGATGGCCAAGGTCTCCAGTCACGGTGTGACATTCATTCGTCCTATCTTTTTTGTCTGCACTAACCCCCTCTCTATCTGAGACGGGGGCGTGTGAGTCACACAACCACACCTGGTTCTGGATTTTGACTTACTTTCTGCCTCGTGTCGAGTTATAACTCCCTCCGAATTTCTTCCGATTAAAGATGAGAGCAGCAATTTCTGGCACGTAGCGAGCAAACATGGCCTACATGCATGGAACAGAAAAAGAAAAGTGCATGCAAAGAGGGGTTCTGCTGTGACCAAAGCCACAGAGGCACCTGGAATACTTACTTTCTGCCATTTACCGCACTATAGGAACCACCATATTTCTTGCGGTTTCCTATTAACTCTATGATTTCAGGGACGTAGCTGGCAAACATGGCCTAAGGAGAAGATAGGAGACAGAAGCAGAGGCTAAAAAAAAGAGAGCGGAGAGACCCGTCCGAGTCTGGACTTTTTTTCCCCCCCCAACCTCTGAGGTGCAGAAATTGACATGTGTTTGCTCCAAAAACAAAATGATCTAGCTTGGTAATATGTCTGTTTTTTATTAAAATAATAAAAAATATTTTAGAAATCAAAAAATGTCCATTGTGCTTCTGAAAAGATCTGAAAAAATTCCAATTGAGGGGAAAATGGAATAATGGACAAAAGGCCTGCTTTGGAGACACTCCACTGGTTTGGAGACAATTTTTTAAAAAAGTTTGTCGTGCTGCCCATCTGTATTTTCTCTGACAGCACAAAAACATCTTCTGAGAAGTAAGAGAAAGAAGAAAAAAAACCTACATGCCATGTTTTGTCCAACAAACACTAATGCAGTGGCAAGTGGATTTGAATAGTCCAACCTGATTGCCCACAGCTGCAAAGCACATTAAGACTCATTAGTGTGCTTCAAATGAGCTGGATGCACTTTGCAAGATTGCAGCCTTGACAAAGTTCTGTTTTATCTCCACGCTATGTGTGTTACTAGGGATCTTAATCCCCGAGTTGTCAGCCTGACCTCCCGAAGAGAGTTGTGAGAGGTTCTTCACCTCTCTCTAGGGCCCTGATGAATTATGACATCTGCCTGATCAGATCTGACGGTTTACAACATTTCCATACTGAAGTCATTTATTGAACACCTGATATAAAGCAGAGCAGTGATTATTTCCAGCCCTCCTCAAAAACAAAAAGAAATAGCAGATTGCTATGGAAACTTCTGGACAGCTGGAACTTTCTGTGTCCAGTGATAGAACTGAAGCACATCTGTCCTGCATTATGTCTATATAAGCTTCACATGAGACCTTCTAAATGCCTGTGGATGATCTATACCTTGATCTTGAGTCTGTTAACCACCTAAACACTAAGGCTAGGCAATATATATTGATTCTTGAATCTGAATATTTTTTATGAGTCATTTCTTTTTAACTGTTTCTATGAACAAGTTTCAAAATGACATCATTATTCAAAAATGATTCACTGTAAAATGTGATCGTAAGGAACTATTCTATCTAATCTAACCCATTGCTTTCAATAGTTGGTATCAATTTTGGTATTTTACTTCTTGCCGTCAATCAACTATTTGAAGTAACGGTTTCTCTGATTGATGACAAAATTGACATTTTCCACTTGTAAATAATTTTACCAAAAACTTCCTGCAGAACATAAACATCTAGTCTTTATCTGTTATTTCTATGTATATTTTCCAGTATCTTCATCTGAAGTTACTCTGCTGTACATGCACTTATAAGAGAGTTTTTTTGGCTGCTGTTGCTATGGTGACGCTCAAGCAGGACTATGGGCCATCCGACTGCCACTGTGTTTGTTGGAATTCGGGGAGGGAAACAGAAGGATGGGATCTCCTGAAACCGCAAAACTGTTTTAAGAGAATAGCAACAACATTATTGTAAAAATACATTTCTTTAAAATGCTCATTTAAATGCAATAAACATAATGAGGGGTAGTGCATACAGCATCTACAAAAATGTACTAAATGCATGTACATTTCATCTTAACTTGGGCTGTAATGGTCAAACAAGGTAATGGATCTTAACGGCAGGGGAGTAAACATTACAAAGACAATGGACATATACAATATGGTAAAAACAGTGTTATAATTTGGGCTATCATGAAGACTGTGGTATGGTAAAAACAGTGTTATAATTGTGGAAAGACAACAGTTATGAAAGTGTCAAATCACAGGAGTTCTGCATGATTTTTTAGATGCTAGTTGTTTGCATTGGGGAAGGGGAGGGGTGCAGGAGTGCCAACAAGAGGAAAAGTGATTTTACCAGACCACCGAGAATGAAGAAGACCATGAAAAGGCGTCCAAGAGTGGTTCTTGCATAGACGTCTCCATATCCCACCGTGGACATAGTGACCATTAATAAGTACACACATTCCCAATATGAGAGCGGTTGAGAGTTTTGGAAGTTTTCCCATGGATCCCCTGAGTTTTCCACCTGCCAGGGGAAGGAGAGCGAAGTGAATTACTGACAGATCAAAACACGATCCTCTACAGCCATCTACTGTCCATACAGAAAATCACAAGGATGAATTGTGAGAGCAACCAAACTGAGGATATAGTGGCGATCAGAGTCTCTGCTGCCATCCAGTGGCACAGATGTCCTCTGATGAAAACAAAACGAAACAAAAACACGAAAAAAGAACCACAAAACACTGAACCTTCAGATAAACGACAACACAAACCACATACGCCACAAAGGGACAGACGTGACGCTCGCTTAGGAGCTTTTTCCTCCCACGAATCTGCATGTGCTCTCCTTTCTCTGTCATTTCTCCAGGGCATGGGGAGAGAGGGGAGCGTGTGTGTGTTTTTTCACTCACCAGATGAATGAATCCTGCAGCAGTGAGCCATGTGCTTATGAAGATGGAACACAGGTTCACCAGCTTGATGGAATTACTGTGAGAGACGAGAGTTACATCACACCTCTCAAAGTGAAACGCATCACACTGACGTACAGATCAGTCAGTCATCTACTGAGCCCAACACACACACGAGCGATGCCTTGCCTTGACGCTGCTCGCTGGGAGTGAACACACAGGTTATCAGCAAATAAATAAGAAGACAGTGGGATCCCGAGGATGACCGACGCATATTGGAGCTGTTAAGTCTAAAGGAGCATTTACATTGAATTTCGGTATCTGTTCCACGGTGGTGTGAATTTTGCACTAAACTCATGTCGCCTCAAATCAGCACTCTCACAAAAATACAAATTATCTCCGATCACTGCAAATCACCATCAATGTGAATGCCCCTTCTATAGCAGCCAATGAGATAAAATACCGTGGTGCAAATGCAACGTCCTGTTGACAGCTGTGTCAGTTCGGTGTGATATATCTAAGCAATTTCCCCCAACTGAAAAACGAGACGGCAGCTAAAATAAATGAAACGTCCAGCAGTTTTACAACCACTGAGTTGGGTGCTGACTGCTTTTTCTCCAATTCCTTTCTGATTCATTGACATATTTACGAAATACCACTGAGGTGTCAGGAGGTGCTCATCTGTCATGTGTGTGACAGCCTGTCGGAGGAGGAATCAATCAGAGGCCTTTCTGCTTCACACTCCTGCATTCATCAGGCTGGAGGGTGGCCCTGTTCTCTTACCTACAGCATGCTAAATGCACACGTTAAACATTCTGCTCAGCTACGAGCCTTGCAGACTTCTGGGTCAAAGCCGCAGAGGTGTGTGGAAAGCGATGGAAGGGACACCGGAGACTCCTAAGGAGCTGTAGAGACTGTGTGTGTTGATACCAGCGGAGTGGAGCTTTTGAAACTGAGAGAGGTGCGTGATATGTTGTCGGCCTTACCTTGTTTTTAAGATATTCAAAAACTGTAAAATTTCTGAGAACTGTATCAATCTCAAGGCTCTTAGAAACCTCAGACCTGCAAGAGAAAAGAGAAAAGCAGACGAGGATCAATAAAAAGGATTGATTGTTATTCAAAGCAATCTGTGTGTTCAAAATGGAACACCAGATTCCTGCACATTGGATTCTACATTCAGTTTTTTAAAGAACCCATAATTGGTAATAACCAGGGCTGGACTGGGACAAAAAATCGGCCCAGGCATTTTTTGGTCCAGGTGACCCACCACCATTTCTATATACCATATTCTATATATATATCATTGATATATATATTTACTTTACATTTAGTCATTTAGCAGACGCTTTTATCCAAAGCGACTTACAAATGAGGACAATAAAAGCAGTCAAAACTAACAAAAGAGCAAAAATATATAAGTGCAAGTGACAAGTCTCGGTTAGCCTAAAGCAGTATACGTAGCAAGGTGTGTATATATATATATATATTATACACACACACATATACACACACACACAAAGAAAAACAAGAAGATAGAATAGAAAAAAGAGAAAGCTAGGGTTTTTTTGTTT